CATGTTTTGTCACCCACTCCCCCACATCGTCCCTTCTCCAGGAGTCCCCGTTCCCCCTGCGGCAGCTCACGAACACCGGCCAAGGACGCAATTTTGGGGGACATGGCACCACCCTGACGCTCCGAGCACCCCACGGCCTTGGGTCACACCTCCCTGCCACGCCGGGACTGGGGAACCCCTGCTCCCACAGCCCCGGCACCAGCTCGGCTCTGCCCAGGAACTCATGTCCACAAGGAAAGGTCGTAGGACGAGCCCCAAATCCAGCACAGCCCCGGCCCCCGCTCCTCGGTTTCAGCAAGTGCCGAAGCCATCGGCAGTTTGGCAAAGCACGTGTGTAAATCCCAGCGGTGCTGAACCGGGGAACTGTGCCAGTCCCATCAGAGTCACTCCATCCCCCCTGCGGGGCTGATCCTGCCTGGACCTGGACACCTCGTGCCAGCAGCTCAGCACCTTCCAACGCAGCTCTGCTCCCAGCCCTCTGGGTTTCCAGGACCTGCCCTCGGTCCCACCACCTGTGCCCTTGGAGGCCGTGATGCTGCCTTGCAAAACACCACCACCGGCATTCACCCGGCACGGCAGGGCACAGCGGGGGTCACCCGGGGCCCCTCCCTGGCTCCACCAGCCCCACAGGTTCATGGAAACCCCGGGGAACACCCCCCTCCCCAGCCTGGCTGAGGGGAAACCATCCTGCCCGTGAGAGCGCCTGTGCTTCACTTCACCGCTCCCAGGAGCTGGCCTTGCTTTGGTGGGACGTAAAGCCCCGGAGGGATTTTGCAGGATGGAGGTCTCAAGGACCAGGCTTCCCACAAGGGTCTTGCTGCTCCTAAACCAGAGGGAGGGAGAGCTGGGCAGCCTGGGGTGTTGGGTCCCAGCCCCATCTGCCTCCCTCCACCCCAGGCGCAAGTGGGGTGTTCTGTATCACCTCAGCACCCCGAGGGGGTTACCCCAGAGGCCTGGGAGGGATGTTGAGGGGGGTCACCAAAGGCATCCTAGTGGTGGGAGGGAAGGGGAGAAGCGCAGGGACCCTGCTTGGTGGGCGCCACAGAGATGGGACGGGTGCAGGAGGAGGGGGCTGTCTTTAGTTATCGTTATTGCTGGTGAATTAGACCAACAAGCCATTTTTAGTCACCTATCAAGGAAGATACAAGTCAGAGCAAATAGTTAAGGTCATGGGCATTTTTCTTGTTTTTTGTTTTTATTTTTTTTTTTTTAAGATTTTTATATATATACATATATTTAAAAAGAGAGAAAAAAAAAATTACGCAAATTTGTTGTTTAAGCCCCGCAACCGGGCTCCCCATGGATGCCAACAGGCAGGGCCCGGGCTGCCCCTCTCTGGGTGGCCCCGTGGGGCCAGGGAGTGGGCTGAGCCCCCCGAGCCCCCCGTAGCCCCCGCTCGGGGCAGAGGTAGCTCTCGGTGCGTTTACAGCGCCTGCTTTTTCTTTCTTCCAAAGTTGCTACATCAAAATATGGAGTCGGTGGGGGGGTACAGGGGGAAGCAGGGGACAGGGAGAAATCAAAATAAAACAGGGGCCGAAATACTTCTATTAATTTTAAACTAGAACTGCTACATCAAGCTTTCTTTTAATATATATGTATATGTATATATATATGTGTGTATATATATATATATATAAAGGTTATTGGAACTGAAGATTTTATTAAAGGCCAACTTGGAGACTTGAGTAGGAACCTTGTCTGCAGAGAGGGGCAGCCCCCTGGACAGCCCCGCTCCGGTTCCTATCAGCAAGCATTGGACATTTGTTTGGGTCATGATTCCTTTTTTTTTCCCTTCCTTTTTTATTTTAAAAAGAAAGGTTTTTTGTTTTTTTTCTCTAACATTTTTCAGCATGCAGGAGGCTTTTACATCGTTTTCGCTTGTTAAGGTGAGGGAGGAGGTACAAGGAGCAGAGGACAGCCCCCCATACCTTCCCCCCTCCCCACTCCCAAGGGTCAGTGCTAGAACAGGTTCCCCCCCACCCCAGGTCCCCGACACAGGGGTCTCCTTCCCCCCTCCCCATTCCCACCCACCTCTTCACAACCTGGCATCAAATAAAGACATTGATCAAGAACTTGCTCACATTACCACGAACAGACTCCACTCAGCCAAGAACGACTACTCACTCACTAACACAGCGGCCGCCGCCGCTTCCAGCTCAGCCCCCTCCAGCACCAACACGAACATTTCCGAACGCCCCTCCGAAGGCTGGTTGGTCCCCCCCCGTGCCCCCCGCCCCCCAGGCTCATGCCCCAACCACTCTCTCGACATCAGCGGGAGAATTTTGCGCAACGAACGGATAAAATACAACCCTGGGGTGGGGGGGTGGGACACAATGGAGGAGGTGGCACTGGGGAGGGGAGAGGTTACCAGAGAACAGGAATGTCGCCCTCTCCCTTCCCTTCTCTTACCGGGACCAAACCGAAGCTAGATTTTGAACAAGAACTGGGCCAGTTTTAGGAAGGACATGGCCAGTGCTGGCCGGGGCTCCGAAGCCTTTGCCAAGGCCGCGCTGCCATGGGGATGGACGGCTGCCACGGCTGTGCCCCAGGACGGTGCCAGGCCACGGGGGCTCTGGGAGTTCGTCTGGAGCACCCCAGCCCTCCGTCGCCCCACAGCCCCCACACTGGCGGGTCCAAAACACGGCGCCTTCGCCCGGGAAGCGCTCGCACCCCGACCCAGTCCTGGTGCAAACGGCTGCGCACACCACAGGGCCGGGAGAAACGCGCGGCTGGGGATTTCTTAAAGCTCTGGGGAGGAGTACCAATTCTGCCCGACAGCGTCCCGTTAGCGCGGTATTATTACTTTTGTCTTTACTTTTTCCAAAACATCAGCATCCACCATAGCCTGGGAACATTGTCCACATCTCCATCCACCTCTTGCCTCTACGGAATATTTCACCATTGACGCAAAATGGTGGAGGCATCCCATCATCCCATCATCATTTCACACCCTCCAACTGGTATCTGAAGATCGAAAGTGGATCTTTATCGGTGCAGAGCACCGGCACCGCCTGCCCCGGGGCGGCGAGCTCAGCCCCAGCCCACCCTACCGGGGCTCAGGCAGCAACCGGGAGCAAGCGGCAGCAAACTGAGCAGAAGAAGGGATGTTCCCAGGAACATTATTACGATGAAAATAAAGTCTCCTGTAACTGAAGGGATTTAAAAAAAAAAAAAATCTCATGATTTTTTTTTTGTGATTTTTTTCTTTTCTTTTTTTTTTTTGCTGTTAGAACTGTCTCTGCCAAGTTGTGAAACTTGTTGGTTCAGTTCTAAATCAGGGTCCAGGATCTGTGAGCAGAAGTCGAGGGGTAGGAAATGGGGAAGCAGTGGTGGTGGGAGAAAAATTATATATATATGGGTTTATATACACATATATATATATATAGGTGCTTGATTAGTTAAGTGCCTATATATATATATACACATATATTTATAGCTGGGTGTACTGGTACTCGATAGGTCAATCCAACACATCTTTTACCATCACAGCATTTTGGCATCCACAGACTGGCTGAACAAACCTGATGGAGTGAAGGTGCTGGCCTACACCTTGTCTGCGTTGGCACAGGAGCCAGATCTGAAGCCCATCCTCTCCCACTTCCAATGGTTTAAAGTATCTCACTTAACAAAATCAGGAGTCTTGAAATGATTAAAGGATGTTCAACAAGGCAATTTTTTTTCTGTTTTGTTTCGTTCTGAAAAAAATATAATATATAAAAGTGGCCAACCTCAGGAAGATCCAGGAAAAGGACAGCTGAAGAGGTTTTGGTCCATAAAGAAATACTTTTTCTTCTTTTTTTGTTTTTTTTTCCCCCCACTTGGTTTTGGGTAACAAAAGTTTTGGTCCAGTTTAAAAACAACAACAACAAAATTATCTCTATAAACTCGGGGTTTTTTGCTCTCTGTTGGGATGCATGTTGGTTTCATATGGGCTCATTGCCTGTATTGCATGATCGTCTCTCTTAGGTTTTGGTGCAATAGGTATATTTTTTTAAGAAAAGAAAAGCACAACGTGGTGTGTGTGTGTGTGTGTGCATGGTGTGTGTAGCTGCAGCTGGCATCACTTGGAGAAAAGGATGAAGAGTGACCTACGGAAACATGGAAGTCGATGCACTCCCCCCATGGCTGGGAACTCGGGACTGCTTTGGAAATACCCTGTTAGTGACTCCTGATTCGGCTGATGAACAAATCCCTGCTCGGATAAGGAAAAAAGAACAAAGTTCCAGACTCCACGGTGGCTCAGAATAACAAAATAAATGCTCGTCGCCTGGTGTGATCCCAATAGGTTCTTCCAAACCTTCTTCAGTTTCACCGGCGTCATTTTTATTTCTTCACCTTCTTTTTTTGATTTTCTTTTTTTTGTGGTTTTTTGTTTGGTTTTTTTTAGAAAAAAAAGGAAAACAATAAAAGTTCTTTAGCTGTGGATTTTTTTTGTTTAAATCTTTGAGGTAATACAGTTGTGCCCTCATTCTAACAGGTTCCCAGAGGTTGATGGTTTCTTTCTTGTTCTTCTAACTCCCCGTCATCCGTTTTCCTTTCTTTCTGTTTGTTTCTTTCCGAGTTCCCAGTTGGGCTGACATCCCTGGGGGGGAGGAGAGTGGGGGCTTCAGGCCAAGACAAAGGTTGAACATGGCTGGAGAAAGGCTGGCAGGGCCCTCCCCACATCCCTGCTCCCTTCCCAGCCGATCCAGGTGGCCTGGCTTGGTCATCGCTGAGAAGTCCCAATCTCACCACCAAAAAAAACTGAACTAAACCGCTTTGCTTGCAAGATCCGAGTGTGCGTTCAGAGTACTTGGTTTACAAAAGACATTGCAGGCTGGAGCATTGTTCGCCCTTCAAAATTTCTGGCTTTGCTATTCATTTTAATTTTATTATTCACTTATTCTTTTTTAAAAAATAACATACATTGCTTGTAAAATAATTTCTTTCTTTTTCTTCTTCTTCTTCTTTAAATTAATTTATTCTTTCATTCGTTTGTTCTTCAGATGTCATTATTATTATTATTATCATTATTATTATTATTATTATCATCAGCATTTTTCTTTCGTGGACCCCCCCCACGCTCCCTTCCTACCCCCCACCCCCCAGTGCCCTGCTCTGTCTCTTTAGGAAAATATTCTAATGGCCTGAGTGGCTGCTGCGTGGCAAACCGGGCACTCCGGATCAGTCCTCTCGCAGATCCTCACGGCACACTCCATACAGAAGAGGTTGTGGCCGCACGGCACCAGCGCGGCCGTGACCTCGCTCTCGAAGCACACCATGCACTCGCGGCTGCTGGCAACGGATGTCCGGGCAGCGGCCGGCGTTCCCAGCTTGGAAAACCCCTGGAGCGGCTCCCCCTGCGACCTCCGGGGCAGCCCAGAGAGGCTGGGCTCTGGGATGGAGGAGGACGGGGAGCGGTGGGAGTTGGGGTGGATGGTGCCAGTGCTGCTGGAGCGCTGCTGCTTCGAGAAGAGCACCGAGACAGGGTTGGTGTTCTCCTGGCCAGCCCACATCGGGGCCCCCGACTCCGGCACCCCGTAGTACAGATCCTGCTTGTTCACGCCGTAGTTGGGGAAGAGGTAACCGTAATTGAAGTCGTTTTGGTCGTTCAGCCGGGGGGTCTCGTAGACGGGGTCAACGGAGCAGTCGCCGATGCAGCCCAGGCTGTTCTGCCGGAAGGTGGAGAGGGGCTTGCAGCCCGGCGCCGGCGTGTGGACCCGCCAGGCCTCCGAGTAGCGGTTCTCCATGCCGGAGTCAGGGCTGCTAGAGAGGAAGTCGTTCTCGTTGTTGTACTCCAGGATCTTGCCCGTCCTCACCGCAATGTGGGTCTCGATCTCCTCCCGGGCGCGCTCCACGTTGCCCGGCGCGCCGGTGATCTCGAAAACGGGATCCCGGTCCCGGCTGGGCGTGATGATGTAGGTGTTGGTCTGCTGCTGGATCCGCTTGATGGTGGCTCCCTTGGGGCCCACCACCAGCCCCACCACGCGGTAGGGCACGCGCACCCGGATGGTGACCTGCCCCGGCAGGGTGGGCGCGCTGCCGAAGGTGGTGCCCGCCTTGTTGCGGGAGGCCCTGATCATGGAGAAGTGCTCGGCCGCTGAGATGATCTCCCGCCGGGCCATGGCCACGTCCTCCCGCCGCCCCGTCACCATGAAGACCGGCTCCTCGCCCCGCACCGGGGTCTTGATGTAGGTGTTGGTCTTCGCTCGCAGGGCTTTGATCTTGCAGCCTTGGGAGGAGAGAGAAGAAGGCAGGGCGGTTAGCAAGGCCATCCCACCGCCTTCCCCGCTCTGCAGGACACTGGGCTGAGCGGCCACGATCTCCTCTGCCACACGGCAGCCGCTGCCCAGGACCTGGAACGAGGGAAAGACCCTTTCCCCTTAACCCTGATAGGGAAATGCCAGAGGGAGGTCCACCCTCACCATGCCCAGAGTCCCTCCCTCAGGAGCGCCACACTCCCTCATCCCCCAGAATGGGGGTCACCATTTTGTGGGCTGCCCCACATCACACGATCCCACCCCAACTGCCTCCCCTCAGAGATCATCCCCTGAGATCTCCCTTCCACACACCCCAACACCAGTGAGTCACAGGGGGATCCAAGCCACCCGCAGGGGCCAGCAGTCTCCATGAAGAGGCCTGTCCCCAGAGCCCTCGGATGGCCCCTCAGAGAAGATGGCCACCCGGGGCTCTGGGGACAGGGCTGAAGTGTGGGGCAGCCAGAGGTGACGGGAGAGAGCGGGGGACACCAATCCCACAGCCTGGGTGGTAGATGTGGTGCCCCTGGGCCACCCTGTGCCAGCTCATGAGGGGAGTCACCAGCCATGACTCCAGAGAGCAGAGCCCTCCATGGGGACGTCTGTACTACTGAGGAGGTTTTGGGGTGAATCCGGTGAATTTCAGGGGGCCAAGTTTGGAGGGGAGTTGCAAGAGATGCAGCAATTTGGCCACCCCACCCCAAATATGGCGGGACCCCAAACACTGGCAGTACTAGATGGCTGGGGGTAGCAGGACACCAGGATTTGCTTTGGGGTCAAAACAGCAAGAAATGGGGCAGGGCTGCCCTCCTATGAGCCCCACAGCAGGCTGTGCACAGACCCCTGCTCCAGGCACTCAGGCCCTCTCCTGAGATCACTGGCCAAGCCTGTGCTTTCGTGTACCAGTATCCACCTCCTGGACACCAGCAAGCCCATTCCCCATCTCCCAGAGCCCACCGAGTCCATTCCCTTGCTGCCAGGGCCCACTGAGCCCCTTCTCCCAGCTCCAAGAGCTCACCAAGCCCATTCCCCAGCTCCTCACAGTTCAGAAAACAGTCTCCTGCATTCCCAGAAAGGGCAAAAGACTTTCCAGTGTGTTTTGGCTTCCAAATGGTATTTTGGAGGGTCTCAAGCCAGCTGTGTGACTCCAGGTTCCGAGATGACACCAGGATGCCTCAAGCAACGAAATATTTTTACAGATGTGGCACAGTTCTCTAAACTACTCCCGGATCTTTCCTTGCTGCTGTCCTGCCCCTCAAACCCCTCTCTCCAAAACCTCACTGAGTGCCCCAAGGCATTTCCAAAGCCTGGCTCCAAATTCCTGTGCAAACTAGGGGTTCCTCTGCAGGAGGTTTGCTCTAAGCTCAGATCTCCAAGAAAAATTAAAATCTGTGATTCTCCAGGGCACTGCATCTTCACCAGCAGAGATGGAGCAAGGTGAGCACTTTTCCCTGGTTTCCCAAGGATTTGGGTGTCTGACTCAGGCTCACGGAACCAGAGGATGAGGATGCAGCATTGGGACCTCTGTGAGATCCCTCAGCTACTCCCACAACACCTTCTCTCCCCTGAAGAGCCCATCTCTTGCCCTCTCTGACCATCTGACACCAGCAGGTTTTCCCCAGCTGCGCTCCACTGACATCACACTTTAACACACAACGACCTGCAAACAATGCCTCTGCAACCACGAGATGCAGATTTCTCAGCTCGCGGGCTGGAACATCATTATTTATACAGATCCTAGTAAATAACAGCACCTCCCCAGCTGGGAGTTCAGGGCTGCCACTCAGTGCTGCCACTTATCCACAGCTCGCCTCGTGAGACACGGGCTGGTGACACCGAGGTGTTCACCGGAACGCAGCCATCCCACCGCTCCGTGTGGTTGGCAAGGATCGAACTCGGCACCTGTGGCGATGGAAACAGCCTCGTGCCACTACAGCTGACAGGAGCTCCCCGCGCTCGCGGGCGCTGCAGACGCTGCAACCAGCGGTGCCCCGGCACGGAGCGCGCTCAGCCCGGCCGGCTGTGCCCACACCAGCACCGCGTGGGCACCGGGCACAGCCCCGGCAAACCGCAGACATCGGCACGCACGGAGCCCTCCCGGTGCAGCTGTGAACCCCATCGCCCATCCCAGGGTCTTGGCAGCGCCGCGGGACACGTGCCGGCAAATCCGGACTCCGCTATCGACTCACAGCATGACTTTTAACTCCTCAGAGCTACTTCAGCTCCCAGAGCCTCACTCCCTCATTTGTGGAGTGGGGAGAACAGCTGCCTCCTGCCTTGGGATCCCGCAAAACTTCCTCTAACACTCCACATCGCAGTGCTGCTGCGCTAAACCCATCTCCGAGCCATGAATTCCACGTTCCTGGGGAATGGAAATGCCAGATCTGACACAGAGAAGGAGCTGGGCAAACCCTCAAATCCAAACCAAATCCACCCCTTGCCAAGTCAAGCGTAGCTCACAGGTTACTCCCCAGAGTTTGCACCCTGAGGTAGGTTTGTGATGCTTTGTTGCGTAAAGTTTCCAAATGGCCCATGTGGACTGATGGTCACCCCACGGTGTGTTATTAGTACCCAGGAAACCCAAAGGACAGGACCTCATGGAGCCAGGCATGACTCGACTGTAGGATAAACCCATGCAGACAAAATCTAGAACAAAGGTTCATCCCAAGGAGGGTGGGATAAAACTCTGAGGGGTCACCTATGCCCTCTAGCAGGCCCTGGGCAGGGTGGGCTCTCCCTGACCCACCTCTGGCAGACATTTCCCTGCCCCACTGCTGTGCCGCTCGCTCCAAAGATGGAGATTCCATCTTAGGAAGATTAACCGAGATGCCACCATTTCCCCAGGGATATCACCGAAGCGTCACATGGAAAGACAGGGGGGGTGTTCACGGCAAGCACCGAGCTGCAAACGCCTCCCATGCATCACCCCAGGGTGAAGCAGCTCTGCCGAATTCCGCGGTGACCCAAGCCCTGCCTCTGGAGAGCAAGGCTCACTCTCCTGAGCAGCAGGACCTCAGGCAGGCATGTGGCAGGGCTGGGCTTGGGCTCCGCGTTGTTCTGAGCTGCGGGACAATGACGGCGTGTGGGGGAGAGGGATCTGAGCCCGGCACGACGGGAAACAATCACAGAGGCGACACGGAGGGTCAGGCAGGCAGAGCGGTGACAAAGGACAGGGGCTCCATGCTGGGGACAGATGGAAGGGAACGGTGGCAAGGAATACACATGAATAAGGGCAAATGTAAGTGTGGTACATGAGCTGGAGGGGTGGGAGGGAGTTAGGGATGGAGGAAAGGTGACAAAAATTGAGGGAGAGGCACACCCTGATCCCTCCAAGGGAGGAGGAGAATGAGAGGTGTGGAAGCAAAGCAGAGACACCCCAAAACAGCAGAAGGAAGATGGGCAAGGAGAGAGCACGGCAAGAGGGAGGGGAGGGAGGATCTGGAACGGACAAAAGGACGCGTGGTGCAGTCGGCTGTGTGAGAAGGGGGGGAGGAGGGAGGGTCTCCATGCAGGCCTGCAGACAGGAAAGCCAGCTTTGTGCAGACAGACAGATGGGGATCCTGTGCTTAAAAATGGGAGAAAATTACCCCGCAGGAAATTAGACCAACTCTGGCAAGCCCAGCAGCCCAGTGGGTTCAGCGGCCTTGACCTCCAGCAGCTCCAAACTGGTGCAGACAATGGCCAAGCCATCAGCAGCCCAAATCCAAAGAACTCCACAACTTCCAGGAGTGCTGTGCTGGTTTACATCAGCTAAAACCAGGCTGTGCTTAAACCTGATTTAACCCCTTTGTGCCAAGGCTCCTGGCCCACCTCAGCCCCAACCCTCTGACCCTGCTCTGCACACTAAACAGGCTCCTTTGAGATCGCCTTGTTTCTGACGGAGCCAGATCAGGATGTGGCCCGTGACACCCCAGCTGGATGAGCAGCACAGCCCCATGTGCTCATTCCAAATGAAATTTGTCCTGTATGGGGGTGGGTTTTTTAACACTTTCTTTGTGTGTAACTGAAATTTGAAAACACCACACAACAAAGCACTTTACTTGGTGGGTAATTCAAAGGAGAGGGAGGTTGAGGGGAGGGAATTGTTAAGCAGGTGATGTCAAAATGTGAAACTAAGGGAGTAAAGGACCCGTTGAAGCTGTACTGATACGTAACTTTGTGCATGCTCTCCTCATCACAGCAGTGCGCACACACCAGCGCGTCGATCCCTGGCACACTCCTGCCACTTAGATTTTTATATTAAACAGGGAATTAAGCCCTTTCTCATTGAGTTTCCACGACCTACCTTCTACTATCCTGGTTTTTGCCAATAATGCGGATTCCAAAGCATTTTACAAAGGAGGTTGTAAGCTCAGTTCCTCTCCACACCCCTTTTTCTCTTTAATTTCACTGATTGCCAATTGACTCAAAGTAAATGTTTTTGCAAATTACCTGAGCACACCACAAACATTCCCACACAGGACCAAACCCTGGAGGACTGGCGAGCCTCTGGTGCCCAGACCAGTCAGCTAACTGGAATTAATCCGCAGAACAGCCAGCTCTGGCTCTAAACATATAAATAAATTGAGTCTAGACATTGCCAAGATGGGGGGCGGGGATCAGGGGGAGATTTGGATGCACAGCCACCTCCTCCTCTCTGCTTAGCCCTGCATCAGGGCAACAAATCCATCAAAACTACCGGAGAAGGCTTCAGGAGTTTGCTGCACCTCTCCAGCTGAGGCAGTTGCTCTCAAGGGCAGAGGGTGCCGGATGCACCAGATCTGTTTCCTTGGCACGAGCCCATCCCAAATGTTCCCACTCTGAGCAGCCCAAAACCAACGTGTTTCCATGGGACCTCACTGGGGTTCACACCGATGCTCCCAGTAGCAGGAAAACACCAGAGCAGCTCACGGGATGGACGTGCCCACCACACCACACGTGGTGACAACACCAGCAGGACAGTGCAATGGCATGTGCAGCCGTGCCCACGGTGTAGATCCATTGGATATTTCACTTTGGTGTAAATTCAGAGCTAAACCTGCTGACAACCTTCTCCTCAGTCCTGCCAGAAGGCCAGATCCTGAACAAGTACATTCTGCTACTGATGCAGTCTAGAGGCTCTCACCCGGCACCAACTGGTGCCTCCAGCACAGGCCAGTTGACTCCCAGGAGCATGAGCTCCACCTGAAAGCATCAGAGGCGCTGTACCAGCTACAGCAAACAGCTCCGGAGCCAGCCCCGAGGTGGGTCTTTCTGTTTCATTGATTTTTTTGTGGTTTTATTTTGAAACACCCCCCCAATCACTCCAGGCCCTGTTATTTCTTGTTTTCATCAGATAGAAAATAATCCCTACAGACAAAAGGTTGTTAGCCCTCTTCTCATTTATCCCAAGGCACTGTTACACTGCATGGGTACAAATTACACCTGTAAATACCCCACTCAGGTTATTCTGACAGTGCCAGTGGGGTGTAAGAGAGTCTAAGGGCAAATTAGAACTTGGGTCTTTTTTTTTTGTTGTAGTCAGAAAATTAAAAAGGACCATAAAATAAACAACCTTCAGCTACCTCAGGTAAGGTGGGGCGTTCTTTTCCCCGTTAAGATGAAAGCCATGTTAAAAGACAAGCACACAAAGAACCTCACAAATAAACCCTCCTGACGGCCTGTGGGGTAAGGTTTTGCTGCATTGAAAACCCGATGAAAGTGGTGTCAAAAAACACAAACGCACACAAAAAGGACCACAACCAACCAACTAAATCCCTTCGCATTGAGGGTTTATTGTCCTGATGATGCAAGTTATGTTTACAAGAAGGGAAAAAAAACACCACCCAATACACCATGCCAGGAAAACCAGCGACCGCCTCGTTCCAGCGTGAAGATTTTACGCTTTTTCACGTCGCGATGAAAGTTGTTTATGAAAAAAAAAAAAAGGAAAAACATCTCCCCCCCCAAAACACCCCAAAGCAACAGCCCTGATGCCACAGACAATCACCGCCTTGTTGTGCGGCAGCGGAAAGTTGGGAACTGGAAGCCCTCGGCCCCAACAGCGATGCGATGCACCGCACGGAGTGGGTGTGCCCGTGGCCCCCCGCAATCCTGCCACGGCCCCGTGGCACACGCTCGGGGTCGGAGCCGGAGCCGGAGCCGGCCAGAGCGCGGGGGAAGCAGGGCAAGGCAAGCGACGGCGGGGGGGGGGGGGATGAGGGGAGGGGGCTGCCAGACAAAGGCGGGGGCCCCCACCCAACGCCAGCACGCTTTTCCCACTGCCCTAGATTCCGGGCGGCTGCGCTGCGGCGCGGTTCACTCGGTCAGCGCGGCATCCAGCCGCCCGATCCGATGCGCGGAGGACCGTGTGTGTGTGTGTCTCCCTAGAAAATTCCCTTTGTCTCTCTCCCAGACCCATTTTCTCCTCCCACCTCCAGTTCAAACCGCACAAAGTCGATCCCGTTCCGCACTTTTCCCTGGTGTAAATTCAGACCGATTCTCATTAACACTTTATAACAACCCAGCACCGACTGCAATTTCCCTCTCCCTTTTAAGGCTCATCCCGAGCTGCCAGAGCAGCGCATGGAGGTTGGCTTCAGGCCCCACCAGATCAGGTGGCTTTAGCTCCAAGATTTCTGTGAAGCAAGGAGACAAGAGGATCTGCCCCACTCGCTGCTCCTCGAATGCTGTACATCCATCCACCTCCACAGGGTGGGTGGGGGAGCTGCAATCATCAGACTTCCTCAATGGAAAAGGCTTCCTTGGACTATTTTTAAATGCTGAAAGCATTGAAGCATGTTTGGAGCTACACAAAGAGCCCAATCACCTGGGGTTAGTGAGGCCTCTTGTTATTTGACTTCACCTTGCCAAGAAAGAGCAATTTATGTTAGGCTCCTCTCTCACATAATCTCATTCCTGGTGACAACAAGCTGGTTGAAGTAGGCTGGGAGATGCTGCATCCAAGGGTGTCTCTGGGTACAGGTGACAATGGATGCTACCACTGTGATGAGACCAAAAATCCTTAGAGGGACCAAAAACCCTTAGAGGGACCAAAAATCCTTAGAGGGAAGGTCCTTGCTGGGAGCAGGCGCAGCAGGAAGTCAAACCTAACCCACACGTTCTCCCAACACCTGCACACACCAGACACAAAGAACCAGCACCATGTCTCCCTAACCACAACATCTGGCCTTAAATGTGCCCCACAGCCTCTTCCCTGACTCCACCACCAGCAGCCCAGTTTGTCCGTGGGAGTGGGCAGAAAAGTTGAATATGAATCTTGATTCGGCTGATTTACACCCATCTCAGGTGACTTCTAGGGAAGAACCCAGATCATCGCAGTGGCTGAGGATTTCTGCCCCTTTCTAAGTTCACAGCACACACGACCAAGATGCGATGTCCTTAAGACACTCTCTGCTCCCTTAGCGTCTGTCCTATCTAAACCCACACCCTTGGGTTGCAAGAAACTTCTCCTCCACAACTCCCTTAGTATCCCATCATCTTCTCAAAAACCACCTGTAAACCCTTCCAGTGCTTTGTCTTTACACCCTGGCAAATTCATCCACACAGCTGTGAGAACCCATGCAGTCCCGGACAGGCTGTTGCAGGCAAGACCTCCACAACGAGAGTTGGCAGGAGAAATGCAAGAGTCACCGAGCACCCCACACAGGCCCCGAGTGGCTCCAGAACCAGGGAGCACCATCCCTGCCATGGCACATGCTGGGAGGTTCAGTCACCCAACTCAGCACAGCTGGAGTTCTCAGCCACCAAGGGAAGGAGGGATGACCTGCAAGAGCCATGACCCAGGTGGAGATGCTCCTGCCCCTCACCCTTGCAGCAACAGGAGGGCAGGCAATGGAGGTTATGGCTCCACCTCCAGCCAGGGAAGGGGTGTCACTGGCAACCCTGGCCAGGGGCAGAGTGTTCATAGGCACCAGTCAAAAGGATTCTTATGACTTCATCCCCTCATCCTTCCTTTCCCAGTTTCCTCTCCTTCCGTTTGCAAAGCAGCCCTTGGCACATCCCACCAGCCGCCCAGCTCTCTGCCACGAACCCTGGGGCATCAGGTGAAGGAGCAGCTCTTGGTGCCCGTCTGTCCAGTTCCCACCAAGTCCCCCTTTCCAGGGCCCACCATCTCATGCCAGCCAGCCCTTCATGCCAGCCGGCTCGCGGCCGCGCTGCTGGAGATGTGCTGCTGCTCAAATTCAGCGCACAAACCAGTCCCAGCGCAAACCCGAGCGAGGTTTCCAGCAGGCGATTGGCTCCGCAAGGGCACGTTCACAGTTCCCGGGGAAAGCAGGAGCTGCCAAGCTCAGGTTGAGCTCCTGCAGCATCTCTCACTCCAGGTGGAGCCACCCCCTCTGCCACAATTAAACCTGTTCACAAACCACCCTTACAGACCGTCCAATAAAAATATATGGGGCTTGAGTCTTATTTATGTTCAAGTGCCTTTACACTCGTTCAGCAAAATGAGGGATGGTCTGATGGCAGGTGGAATTCCCATGGACAGGCGTGGGCACCTGGGACCCCATGGCCAGATCTAGGCCTCTCATATCCACACCTGCCCATGAGAAACATCTTCATATATAGTAAATATTATTTTAAAATAATCAAAAGGAACAGCGTGTTTCTTCAGATCAGAAAATAGTAAGTTAGAGAAAACCCTGTCACCAAGTAAAGCCCTGAAATCATTTTTATTTCATTATTACTTTTTGCAACATGTTCATCACCCCATTCACAGGTACCCACAAACCACTTATTTTCCTAGAAAACCATCCACCACATGAGCAGTACTACCAAAGGGTGACAATCTGCAGTTTCTGGGATTCCTGGTGAGGCATTCATGAGATTGCACGATTCAGTCCCCTGGGAGCCCCGCATCCAACTCCAGACCCTCGTAATCTGGCCTTCCACTCAAAAACAAGGCGCAGGAGACGCTGGAGACATTCCTACAGGCCTTTAGAAACAAGTGTGAGCCACAATCTCTGCTGGAGTGAAGAGCCATGGCTGCGGGGTCTGTGCTGAAGGAATCCTGGCTTCTCCCAGCACAGGATCCATCCCACCTGCTCCCATGATGGGGCACAGCCTGCACCGTCTGCCCCACCGGCGGATGGAGCGCAGCCGCGGCCACATCCCCAGGGCTCCAGCACACTGACATTTCACGGTTTCCCAGATGTGGGAAAACCCTCTCACATGCTAAAAATGGTGGAAAAAATCCAGGTCTGCACGTTCCTCTCCAGCACTGTGGCCACAGCAGGCACGCGCTGCGTTCTGAACACATCGGAACACACCCCCTTCTCGGGAGTCTGGGGCAGTAGTGAGATCCTGGAAGAAAACAGCCCCCGCACGTTTCCCCTCAGTTCCGCCTGCTGAATCCTCTCTCTTTCCCAACTTTATTAAACAAAGGGGGCCTGATTCTCCACAGCCTCACACCCGCCAGTGTGGAGTCGGTGCTGAGCCCGCTGTGTCGGCCCGTGCTCCACTCCTGGGGGTGAAAAGGCATCATGGGGAGGATCAGGATCAGGGCCAGCGGGATCTCCTTGGCCAGACCTTCACCCCACTCCAGCCGTCTCCCCAACTCCCTGGCGAGGGGCCCCCATCCCAACGTGGTGGATGTCAGAGCAAGAGCTGTTCCCTCGGCTGCAGACGCCCCAAGTTTTGGGGAGGTCAGCACCCCACGGACTCTTGCCCACTCTCCATCCCGGCATGGGGACCGGACCCTTGCTCTGCGGGTCAGAGCGAGCGTAGCCTCCGCAGGGCCCATTGTTCCCACCACACACCCCAGCATCATGATGCCCAGCCCGGAGCCATTTATGTCCCTCTCCCTGTGGCTTCCCCTCGCCCACCTCAGCCCTTCTGAGAGCACGGGGGGAGGTCATCACACGCCGGGTCCCACCACGAACCCCCTGCTCGGATGTCTGCAATCCCAACCCACGGGGGAGCATCTGCTCGTGGAGCCGCAGGCTCTGCCCGTCGCACTTCCAGAGCGCCAAGTTACTTGTGCAGAGAAAGAAAGAAAAAAAACCCCAACACTTAGCCGCACTATTATTATTTTTTTTCCTCTGTAGCGACACAAAACTTCTCTCGGCAGCACCGTGCCCCGGCTCCCGCAGTGCCCACGGGCAGCGCGGGGCCCCGCACCGCACACCCGGGAGCGGTGGGGGTGGGCGAGGGGTGACTTAAGAGTGGGTGTGGTATGGAGATAGATAGATATATATATATTTTTTTTTTTTTTTTTTGTAAAGCCCTCCTCCATTCCACCTCGCTCCGAACGGAGCCGCGAGGAGAACAAAAGCATCACTGTGGCGGCGCGCGGGCAGCGGCTGCGGGGGG